TGTGTATCATGTTTTCTGAGAGTAAGTGAGTGAGTGAGTGAGTGAGTCAGTCAGTGAGTGAGTGAGTGAGTAAATGAGTAAGTGAGTAAGTGAGTGAGTATGTCAGTGAGTGAGTGAGTGAGTGAGTGTGTGAGTGAGTGTGTGAGAGGGTGAGTGAGTGAATGAATGAATGAGTGAGTAAGTGTGTGAGTGAGTGAGGACGTGAGTGGGTGAGTGAGTGAGTGAGTGAATGGGTGAGTGAATGAGTGAGTGAGTGGGTGAGTGAGTAAGTGAGTGAGTGTGTGAGTGAGTAAGTGAGTGTGTAAGAGGGTGAGTGAGTGAGTCAGTGAGTGAATGGGTGAGTGAGTGAGTGAGTGAGTAAGTGAGTGAGTGTGTGAGTGAGTAAGTGAGCGTGCGAGTGGGTGAGTGAGTGAGTGAGTGAATGAATGAGTGAGTAAGTGTGTGAGTGAGTGAGGACGTGAGTGTGTGAGTGAGTGAGTGAGTGAATGAGTGAGTGAATGAGTGAGTGAGTGAATGAGAAAGTGAGTGAGTGAGTGTGTGAGTGAGTGAGTGAGTGAGTGAGTGAGAAAGTGAGTGAGTCAGTCAGTGAGTGAGTGAGTAAGTGAGTGAGTGAGTGAATGAGTCTGTGAGTGAGTGAGTGAGTGAGTGAATGAGTGTGTGAGTGAGTGTGTAAGTGAGTGAGTGAGTGAGCGAATGAGTGTGTGAGTGAGTGAATGAGTGAGTGAGTGAATGAGTGTGTGAGTGAGTGTGTAAGTGAGTGAGTAAGTGACTGACTGAGTGAGTGAGTAAGTGAGTGTGTTAGTGGGTGAGTGAGTGAGTGAGTGAGTGAGTAAGTGAGTAAGTGAGTGAGTGAGTGAGTGTGTGAGTGAGTGAGTGAGTGAGTGAGTGAGTGAGTGAGTGAGTAAGTGAGTGAGTGAGTGAGTGAGTGTGTGAGCGAATGAGTGTGTGAGTGAGTGAGTGTGTGAGTGAGTGTGTAAGTGAGTGAGTAAGTGACTGACTGAGTGAGTGAGTAAGTGAGTGTGTTAGTGGGTGAGTGAGTGAGTGAGTGAGTGAGTGAGTGTGTGAGTGAGTGAGTGAGTAAGTGGGTGAGTAAGTGGGTGAGCGAGTGAATGAGTGAGTGAGTGAATGAGTGAGTAAGTGTGTGAGTGAGTGAGTTAGTGAGTGTGTGAGTGAGTGTGTGAGTGAGTGAGTAAGTGGGTGAGTGAGTGAGTGAGTGTGTGAGCGAATGAGTGTGTGAGTGAGTGAGTGTGTGAGTGAGTGTGTAAGTGAGTGAGTAAGTGACTGACTGAGTGAGTGAGTAAGTGAGTGTGTTAGTGGGTGAGTGAGTGAGTGAGTGAGTAAGTGAGTGAGTGAGTGTGTGAGTGAGTGAATGAGTGAGTGAGTGAGTGAGTAAGTGGGTGAGCGAGTGAATGAGTGAGTGAGTGAATGAGTGAGTAAGTGTGTGAGTGAGTGAGTTAGTGAGTGTGTGAGTGAGTGTGTGAGTGAGTGAGTAAGTGGGTGAGTGAGTGAGTTAGTGAGTGTGTGAGTGAGTGTGTGAGTGAGTGAGTAAGTGGGTGAGTGAGTGACTGAGTGAGTGTGTAAGTGAGTGAGTGAGTGAACGGGTGAGTGAGTGAGTGAGTGAGTGAGTGAGTGAGTGAGTGAGTGAGTAAGTGGGTGAATGAGTGAGTGAGTGAGTGTGTGAGTGAGTGAGTGAGTGAGTGAATGAGTGAGTGAGTGTGTGAGTGAGTGAGTTAGTGAGTGTGTGAGTGAGTGTGTGAGTGAGTGAGTGAGTGAGTGTGTAAGTGAGTGAGTGAGTGAACGGGTGAGTGAGTGGGTGAGTGAGTGGGTGAGTGAGTAAGTGAGTGTGTGAGTGAGTAAGTGAGTGTGTGAGAGGGTGAATGGGTGAGTGAGTGAGTGAGTTAAGTGAGTAAATGAGTGAGTGAGTGAGTGAATGAGTGAATGAGTGTGTAAGTGAGTGAGTGAGTGAATGGGTGAGACAGTGAGTGAGTGAGTGGGTGAGTGAGTAAGTGAGTGTGTGAGAGGGTGAGTGAGTGAGTCAGTGAGTGAATGGGTGAGTGAGTGAGTGAGTGAGTGAGTGTGTGAGTGAGTGGGTGAGTGGGTGAGTGAGTGAGTGAGTGGGTGAGTAAGTGAGTGAGTAAGTGAATGAGAAAGTGAGTGTGAGTGAGTGAGTGAGTAAGTGGGTGAGTGAGTGAATGAGTGAGTGAGTGAGTAAGTGAGTGTGTGAGTGAGTGAGTGAATGAGTGAGTGAGTAAGTGAGTGAGTATGTGAGTCAGTGAGTATGTGAGTGAGTGAGTGAGTGAGAGGGTGAGTGAGTGAGTGAGTGAGTGAGTGAATGGGTGCGTGAGTGAGTGAGTAAGTGAGTGAGCGTGTGAGTGAGTAAGTGAGTGTGTGAGTGAGTGAGTGAGTGAGTGAATGAGTGAGTGAGTGGGTGAGTAAGTGAGTGAGTGAGTGAGTGAGTAAGTGAGTGAGTGAGTGAGTGAGTGAGTGAATGAGTGAGTGAGTGAGTGTGTAAGTGAGTGAGTAAGTGGGTGAGTGAGTGAGTGAGTGAGTAAGTGAGTGAATGAGTGAGTGTGTGAGTGAGTGAGTGAGTGTGTGAGTGAGTGAGTGAGTAAGTGGGTGAGTGAGTGAATGAGTGAGTGAGTGAGTAAGTGAGTGTGTGAGTGAGTGAGTGAATGAGTGAGTGAGTAAGTGAGTGAGTATGTGAGTGAGTGAGTATGTGAGTGAGTGAGTGAGTGAGTGAGAGGGTGAGTGAGTGAGTCAGTGAGTGAGTGGGTGAGTGAGTGAGTGAGTGAGTGAGTGAGTGAGTCAGTGACTGAATGTGTGAGTGAGTGAGTAAGTGAGTGAGCGTGTGAGTGAGTAAGTGAGTGAGTGAATGAGTGAGTGAGTGTGTGAGTGGGTGAGTAAGTGCGTGAGTGAGTGAGTGAGTGAGTGAATGAGTGAGTGAGTGAGTGAGTGAATGAGTGAGTGTGTGAGTGAGTGAGTGAGTGAGTGAGTGAGTGATTGAGTAAGTGAGTGAGTGATTGAGTAAGTGAGTGAGTGAGTGAGTGAGTGATTGAGTAAGTGAGTGAATGAGTGAGTATTAATGTATGTTTTAATCACAAATGTAATCACTGTACAGCTGTTTGTTCTGAATACTTTATCAGCTAACTGTCAGTGACTAAGTTAAGAGAATTTAACTAGTTAGCGAAGTGATCTTAACATCGTTCTATGTTGTTCTTTATCATTAAAATGATTTTTAGCACATACAGTGACCCAGACGAAGTTTAGCCTACATTAGAGCCGGTATAGTTCTAGAGTTATCCTCCTTATACAGAACAACACTTTCCCACCATTTCTTAATCTAACAGTTCACACTAATTTACTCCCAGCACCGTTCTCACCGCAGGTTTGTTCTGAGAAGCTCCTCGCCTGATGGAGGAAGGAGACCATTGTGATTGGCTGAAAGGCATGTCAATCAACATTTTGCTAATTATTTCCACCCCAGCAGCAGTAGACTGGTATTAGAGTATCTACAACCTTTAAAAAGTCATCCTTTAATAAAAGGGTCCTGTGGTGAAGGCAATGATTATACACCATTGACATTATGCCACAAATGGTTCTTTGCCATAGAAGAACCACTTTTGGTTCCATAAAGAACAGATCTCGTTTGTAAATAAGAACTGAGAATGTGAAGAACCTTTGTAAAGTTTAAAGAACCTCCACATAATGCAGGGTTCTTTACCAATTCAAGGGTTCTTCTAAAACCTTTACATTATGTGGAGGTTTTTCAACTTTAAAATGGTTCTTTAGATTTACACATATCAAGTTGTTCTGAAGTTCCAGGAAACCAAAAGTGATTATATATGGCATCAAACAAAGAGCTCTTTTTGCCAACTTTGGTTTTTAGAGTGTATATACAATCATGACCACTCAAAGAACCCACTGAACACTTAAATGTTTCTTTGCATGGCTAAATGGTTCTCTTCTAAAGTGTAGAACCTGTAACACCAAAATTGTTCTACTATAGTCAAAGATCCTTTTTAGGCACAATGTAGGACACAATTATACCTACTTTGTCTTGAGTTCCATTAGATGTTATGAAGCCCTAAAATAGATAGAAAAAATTTTTTTTTCTTGTTCATAAAACACCGAGAAGGAGAAGTTGGTTCAACACAGCTATTCAGGTGTGATACACTTTTTGTCCAGCAGATGGTGATAAAGGACTCTTGGGTTTGTCTACCTGAAGCCACTGAATGAGCGCTACAACAAACTGAATGGATTTGGATACAGGTGTGTGGTAAGGTTATATCTGTAATGGTGTAGTGTATAATAAGGTTGTATCTGTAATGGTGTAGTGTATAATAAGGTTATATCTGTAATGGTGTAGTGTATAGTAAGGTTATATCTGTAATGGTGTAGTGTATAATAAGGTTGTATCTGTAATGGTGTAGTGTATAATAAGGTTATACCTGTAATGGTGTAGTGTATAATAAGGTTGTATCTGTAATGGTGTAGTGTATAGTAAGGTTATATCTGTAATGGTGTAGTGTATAATAAGGTTGTATCTGTAATGGTGTAGTGTATAGTAAGGTTGTATCTGTAATGGTGTAGTGTATAATAAGGTTATATCTGTAATGGTGTAGTGTATAATAAGGTTATATCTGTAATGGTGTAGTGTATAGTAAGGTTATATCTGTAATGGTGTAGTGTATAATAAGGTTATATCTGTAATGGTGTAGTGTATAATAAGGTTATATCTGTAATGGTGTAGTGTATAGTAAGGTTATATCTGTAATGGTGTATAACCACAGTCCGTTAATTAGGGTGAATTCCGCGCTAAAGGCTAAGGAGACTGGTTTGGTCAGTGAGGACCGCTGAGAGAAGCGCTGGCCAGGCGGAGGAGGGCTGGGTGAGCCCTAACTCGGGTTGACGCCTCTGTGTTTGGCGGTTCTCTGGCGGGCGAGACCATCTCCTCTGTGAAGGGGGGGGATGGGGGGGTGAGGGGGGGGGGTCCCGTTAGCGCTGACACTTCGCCCGAAGGTCGACTAGTCCGAACATCGTATCGAGGCTGAGACGCGGCGGGACGCTCAGAGCCGGCGATGCGAGTCACAGCCTTCAGGAGGTTCTGCGGTAAATCTCCCAGGAGCGTCTGAGCGGGATTTCGGTTAATCTGAGGTGAGTCGTGTTTGGGGTGAGTTGTGTTTGGGGTGAGTCGTGTTCGTCTTTTCTGGGTTTGAACTGTTGCTGGTCCTTCGTGTTCCTGATGACCGCAGACGGGGAGGCTTTAAACCCGCGCTGCGTCCTAAACTCGCTGTGCCGTTTTGTTTATTTTGCCCTTTTAAAACTGGCCTTTGACTTTATTTAGACCGAGTTAAAGTTACAGTTTTGCTGTAGACGGATTTTAAATGGACTGCGCTGAATGACGCTGTGGCTGCACTATCGATTAACGTTACTCCATACGGTGTAGTTTGATTTGAACTTAATACAAAACTGATAAGCGGCTTTATTCATACTGTCATTCCTGAACGAATTCCTACGAATTACTGAATCACAATAGCCTTAAATATTATTATGACTAAAGTTTTATTACACACCTCTATAACCTAAAAATAGCTCCATTAGTTTGCATTGAAGTCCATGTAGTTACTTAATAATAAGCCTTAATATGAAAAAACACAGAATGCATTTGTGCTGCATTAAATATGTGACTGGTGTGATTAAAGACAAATCAGATGATTAAAAATGACATGAATGAAATCTTTCAGCCCAGTTTGATGTGAAATGCGCTGTAGAGAAACTAAAGGACTCTGATTTTTATTACAGTGGTGCTGATAGGAACCAGGAGTCGCAATGTCTACAGCTGTTTCCATTTTATTTAGTATCTAAAATGACCAGTGAACCTACACGTGTCTTCTGAGTTCTTATAACGTAGATAGTGGTAATGAAGTGGAAAATCAGGAAAAATATGTTATATTTCTTTCATGTTATAGGTTTCAGTAAGAGCTTGTTGGGGCATTAAGCTCCTCAGACTGTTTCTCTGTAATGGAGCATTTCACATCCAAACACTCATGATGTCGGTGTGTGATTTCAAAGGTTTGGTTTCCTCACTGTAAGTGGACATAGGTGCAAGTGTTTGTTCATCAGGTTTTTTTTCAGTCTTTCCCTCTACAGACAACATTTACAAACCTAGATAATCTTATCTTTCGGGCTGCTTCCAAGGACGAACCACTGGCTGATCTCCATAGTCAGAAATAGCCTCCAACTGTATCACCAACACTAATCAACACTAGACCAGCCTGTAAGATCAGCCTGTGGATCACACCTTTTATTTGCCAAGAAGAGATTTAAATCAGCTCTAACATTAACGTTAAAGTTTCTGAAAGTTTATGGAACAAATTAGGACAAAATGTCTGCATAATTCAGTCATTCACAGTGGTTTGATATGAAATGATTAATCGTAGAGAAACCTTCGACTGACCTACTTTACACTGGTAGTGGGAGGAAACAGGGGTTTCTGTCTACAATGTAAATAAAGCCCTTTTATTTACTGTCCACAGTGACCAGTGAACATACATGTCTTCTGAGATTTTATATGTAATGTTTATAAAAGTGAAATAGGGATAAATTCAAGTTCTTTGGGGACTGTTTTGCCTTACAACATCCTGTATGTACCTCTCCACTATCAATGGGTTTTAAAAATATGTTTCATGCTGAAACCGTATCTCAAACAACATCTTCCACATCAGGCGGCAAATTCAGATCTAATTCATGTGTGAACTTTTTAGACATCTGGTTCCCATCAGCGCTGCAATTGTGACTTAGTAGGTTTCTCTGGAATTCAAATCACTCTGAATGAGTTTGTTTACATCGCAATCGTTTAATTGTGCAGAAATTTTGTAATTCCCCATAATATTTGGCTGGACAAGCCTGCTGAAATGCTTACATCACCCACTTTATTTCACTTGGAAAAGGTGTGTTTAGAACTGCGCTAGGACAGACTAATTAGCATACCGTATGACCAGTGTTAATCAGGTGGTTCAGTGCCTTATTAGATTTTAATATCTCAAAATAAAAGCCAGTTTCTTGTCACTAAGTCCTTTCCATTGCTTTACATTCTGTGTGGAAGTAATTACTGTAAAGTATTTGCTTTTCCTAAAGACTCAGGAAGGCGTACTCTCATCCAGGCTCTATGAAATATTGATCACCTCGGTTGAGATCCCTAAACTTTGCTTTGCACACAGACTGCTCCAAAGGAGTCTGTATTCACACTCTTGTACCAAACTAGAGGCTCCTGTTTCTCAGGAAGCCTGAAATGAGAATTCAGAAGGGTCATTTAACCAGTGGAAGTGGAGACAGGCTCAGAGGGAAGTAGCAGTGGATGTCCACAACACTTTGACCTCAATCTAAAAAGTACTAGAAGATGGAGTGAACGGAGACTTTCTGAAGCGCAGGATTAACTGACAATGCTGAAATCCTAAAAGGCGAGAGACTCTAACGTAGTGCTTAAGTGATCTTAGTCAGCTAGACGTGCTGTTCACAACTGTAAATTATACATTTACATTAATGTCAAAGGGAATAATCTGCTGATTACTCATTTTTTTAAAAAGGCTAAACAATAAACTGATTAGTGGCAAACCATACAAAGACTTTCAAAGATTCAGAAATATTTTATTGCAAAGATAAACTAGAAAAACTTTACGACCTAATATAAAAATATCCATCAAGCTGTTATTCTCACTGCAAGGAAGACCAGCAAGAGAACTCTTTTCACTGCTACCTAAATCATTAAGGTGGTAACAAAGTCTGTCAAGCCGGTTTGGGGAAAATGGTTCATTGTAGAGAAGCTCATTGACTCTAACTTTTTTACAGTTGTGGTCATAGTAACCATAGTAACCATGTCTACAACACAGATATACTCATTTAGTTTACTATCAAGAGCAACCAATGAGCGCACACGTCCTCTGAGTTTTAATATGTAATGTTGATAACAGTAAAATAAAAGGTAGATCTGTAAAAAGGTGCTCTTTAGGTTCTCTTTTGCTTTATAATGCCCTGCGTGTGTCTTTAACTTTAAAAATTAATTTGAGACCAAAACAATGTCGAAACTATCGTAAAACAATGTCTCAGGGATCAGGTCCCATTTTCATAACCATTTTATGTAATAGCCGTCTGTGGGGCACTTTTCTGAGGCATTAAACGCTTCAGACGTCTGGTTCCTATCACCACCACTGTGAACAATTCTGTTTAGATAAGTTTTAGAACAGAGCATTTAATGTCAAACCACTCTGAATGACTTTCTTCATTTCATGTTTACATCAATTAGATTATGCATTATGAAAGACTGAAAAATTAGTATAATTCTATTTTGAATATGCATTATCATGCAAACTATTGAAGATAAATTTGATTGTCTCCAATAAAATTGATAATCTCCAATAAATTAATAAAAGTTGAATGTTGCAGCCCTGCTTGTCCCGCGGGGTTTAAATGGGCCGACTGATGAAAGCTGTAGATCAGCTGGTGTTGTTGAAGCCTGTGTGCTGATGTTCTCAGGGAGAGGACAATTGTGTCTCAGACAGGTGGTCAGTGCAGAGGGCTTTCAGGACGGCAAGACCTACTTAAGAATGTGACACCCACTCCACCATCACATCACATGACAAGCTCCATTTCTCTCTCTGTCTCTCTGTCTCTCTCTCCGTCTGTCTCTCATCTCCTCCCGACTGATATTGAAGAGTCCTTACAGGGCGTAAGGTTCCAGGCGTTTGGTACGTGTCCACAAACACAAGCCTTTCTCTGTCACTGTCTGTTCAGCCTCATGCTTTGCCATTTGCTGACGCCACACAAAATCCTCCCCAAAGGGCAGCACTTATCTCCGTGTGGAGGAGGGGGCAGGGCGCTGGGAGAGATGCAGTTGGACTGAATACAACTGGCCTGCCCTGAAATGTGATCATTCTGCCAGGGTGCAGGGGCCAGAGGTCGAAGGTGACTAGAAGAATGGAGCTGGGCTATCTCCTCGGCCTGAGGAGCTTCTTTGTGCGCATTGAGCTGCTGGCTGGACCATGCCAGAGCACATCAAAGCTCTGCCCAAACATTGTTATCTGGAGCTGACCTTTGACGTCTTGCTTCGTACTGGGCCTTATAGTGCTGTGTGTCTGGGGGGGTTAGGAGGGGCAGCAGGTAGTGGTCTACAGAAAGGTCCTCTTTCTTCTACAGCACATTAGCACAGTTCCCGAAGAAGTTTCTGGCTTTTCCACTGCACTGTTTTGTATTTTCAGAGGTTGATGTGAAGACCCTCAAATGACCGTTCGCTCTCTCTCTTTCTCTCTCTCTCTGCTTTTCTGTCTTTTGTATACTCTTTTTTATTGTTCGTCTGGAGCAGAGGATGAGCCAGCCCAGCCCCCGCACTCACACACCTACCTCCTGGGGTAAAAAGTCTTAAAAGCTGACCACCCCCCTCTCAGCTCTTTTGTAGGAGGGCAGTGAAAGTAACAGTTTTTGGAGGGCTTGGGGCAGACCCTCGGGTGGTCATTTTTAGACAGTGTCCTAGAAGATTTTAGTGCCAAACAGCAATAAAGGTCCACAGTGAAGCTGACAAAAGATACAGTACTGTGCAAAAGTCAAGAAAATTATAAAACTGTTTATCTTAGCAGTAAAATTGTTTTTGCCTGAAAAAAGAAACACTATGAAACACTTAAAAATACATACATACATAAAAAAAGCAAGAGGTGAGTGTTTATAAAAAAACAGTTATTAGCATGTTGGTTAGAAAAAGACATGCAGAAATGAAGACATGCAGAAGTGTGGCATTTGACTAGGGGCGCCCAAACTTTTGCACATGACTGTATCACAAGTATCAGATGATATTTAAGTTTACATGGATAATGTAATGAATCTATGCGTACTTAGTTTGTATTAGAGATGCCACGATACTAGTGTTTCAATACTGATTCCGATATGAAACTTTAGTATCGGCCGATACTGTAACAAAGCTGATATTAAAACGTCTGAGTTGTACAGTGAACCCTTTCTCAGTGGAGAGGTACGTGCAAGTCAAAGTAGTCCCCGAAGTAGTCTGCATATTTATCACTATTTTACCATCATCAACATTACAAATAAAACCTCAGAAGACACGTTTACATTTTGAAACAAAATTATTATATTTGAAATAAGAATGT